AAAAGGGCCCAAGAAGGAGAATTTGCACTAAGTGAAGACAACCAGAATTTGATACTAGTCAAAAGGTATGCATAAATATGATATAATTCAAGATTTGCAAAACCAAAAACCCCATCTTTAACAAACAGTTGTATCTTTTTCAAAAATATCTTTGAAATTGAAGAACCCCATAGACATTTTCAAAACAGTGTACTGAGTTTTTGAAAATGATTTCTGGATATGTATATAGGAATTCTATGCAAAATATAAAGAACCTTGGGAATTATACTCATTTTAAAAGTATTTCTCCTATTCCAAAGGGTAAGGTTAATGACTCCCATCTATCAGTGTCGACAAAAACCTCTTTATATATCTTACTCATATTCAGATTAATTATATGAGAAATATTGCTTGGGATAAAAATGCCTAAACAATGATCAATTCCGTACATATACAAACACGATAAACATTATGCAAATCTTTACCTATAGGCATCAATTCTGACTTAGACCAGTTAGCAGTATATTCCACAATTTGACCAAAGGCAGATAGACCAAAGCTGTATTATTGATTGTACTTGTACCAAAAACACAATTTGACTATTGATCAGATAGACCAAAGCTGAAAGAGAAATACGATTTATCGTTTATATTCTAAGGAATTGTGTAAAAACCCATGGATATTATAATCTTGTTTTAGTAGCACAAGCTAAGGATTCTAAACAAATATCAAAGGGGAAAGTGAGCATCCATGCCTAGTGCTTTTATAAAGTGAAAAGTAGTAAAAAAAATACTATTTCACTTTGAATTTGGGAGCCTTGTAGAAAACCCACTTTATAAATTCTTTTGGAAATTCACATTGCCTGTAAATGTTATCAAGGGCCCAGCCAACATGCAAATTGGAGGTTTAGAGTAAAAGCAATAGGTACATCAATTGGGACGGGGGAGATTACTGCTAAATGTGATGGGCTTCTTCCTGTTTTTTCACTTCTAGGTCAGAAAAACCATGTAGCCACTAGGTCTTATCTGGGTTAAGCATGTTGTGGAAACATAGCCACTGAGAAAGAGAGAAGTACCTGTGGTGGGGGAAGGCTGTTTTTTTCTACTTGGACCCTTTCTTTCTAAGAGGACACACACACACACCAACTAAACTAAAGGAGGTTGTCCAGGAGTGCCTCTGCTTTCTAGTACTTCACATTCTTTTCTTGGAGGACTAGGGTCTGCTTAACCTTAGTCTAGCTGTTATGCTGGACTGTAATTAATTTTCAGATTAATCTATAGGTCAAGCTAAGGCTCTCCTCCAGTGCACAATATGGCTTAGCATATTGTGCATTAGAGAAGCTTCTGATGGCTACACTTTGGAATGGAGCTCTGGACTAGGTGGGCTTTTGACCTCATTCAGCCAGATTTTAATACCTTGGGATGAAACCTCCATTTACTGAAGCAGTATATCTCTGAATACTGTGGAACTTCATGTCCTGCCGATGGGCTTCCTAGAGGTTTCTAGATGGCCACAGTGTGAAAAGAGAACAGCTTGACTACTTTTTCTTGTAATGTCCTATTCTTGTTTCAGACTCCACCAACTCTAGTGAAAATATGTACATGATGAACTCTGTTGGCCCTCCTCCAAGCCGGCCTGGGGTAAGTGCCTACTTCCTGCTCCCTCCCTGTTGCTGGATGATATTTTATGATAAAAACAAATATGCTTCTTCCTCCTGGAATCTGTCCTTCCTAATGCTTTCTGTATTTCTCCTCTCTAAATGCTCTCTGTGTACAATGTTTAGTTCTCCATCGGGCCAAGTCCAGAAGGTCCAATGGCTGGGATGAGTGCCATGGAACCTCATCATATGAATGGATCCTTAGGTAAGTATGGACCTGCCTGCAGGGGTGGTCATGGATGATAAAATCCAGAATAACTTGGATCTGTTTTAGTGAGAAAAGGGAGCACAAATGTATCATTTCAAAGGATGGGGGGGAGGATGTTCCAGAACTCTTCCTCTCCCCCTCTTTCTCCATGTTGTTGTGTCTGTTGGGTTCTCAATGTCCCCTTGCATGCTAAAAGAGGTCAAGTCAAGTCGAGTATGATTCCTGATGATTTTAGGGTACGTCCATAATAGTTTTCTTACCAAATAATACAGAAATGCTTTGCCATTGGCTTCCTTCAAGAAATTTTTTAACTTCCCAATCTAACCTAGAGATGTGAAATCTTCTGATGGTCTCCCATCCAAGTACTGACCAGCTCCAACCTTGCTTAGCTTTTTGAGATCAGCCAAGGTCAGCTTGGTGCTGACTTGAGCAGGGCTACCCATTGTAGACCATTGGACACCAGAACAGATGCTGACTCTGATATCTTCCAGTTTTAATTTTGGCAAAGGAAGATGAAGAATAACTAAGCCCAGAGGACATGCCATTTTGGTGTACTTAATCCTTTTCCTATGTAGTGGCTTTTCTCACTGACCTCCAGATGTGCTGGATCACAACACCCATCACCCCCAACCAAGACAACATTTGATGTGCTTGCAACTGAAATAATTGTACGTTTTTCCCCTTTTGATCCTTTCCCTCCCCATGCATATGAATACAATCTTATTTTAAAGGAAAGGAACTTGTGGCCCTTCACCCCAACCAGAGTGGTGAGGGATGCTAATAGTTTATAATTCCAATAACACCTGGATCCCTTTAAGTATCCCATCTTGTTATAATGGGTATCACTGTATTATTATTGTTTTCTTATTGTTATTTCAGCTCCATTCCTCCAGTACCATGAAGGATTTCCCCGCCATCCACGGAGGGGAGGGCAAACCCTTCAATGGGCTTCAGGAACATTTGAGAACAAAAGGGCTGCCTGCCAGGAGGATTTCAGTTCCGTGCAGAGCTGAAATCCTTCAGCGCTTTCGCTCTGCCTGCTTAACAACCTGGGAGATTGGTTAATGACTGCAACCAGGAATGCCTGGATTGCGGTCGTTGAGTAAGGCAGTCACTTAGTGGTATCTCACTTAATGACTACTTTGCTCACCAATCGAGATTCCAGTCCTAATTGTGGTCATTAGGCGAGGCCTACCTGTATAAGAATGTAACTTTAGATAACTTTAGATGCATGTTGAATTGGCCTCCTAAATTCAGGAGCTGTGTAATAGCTGCCTTTATTCAAAGAACTCTTGGGACTGGCTGACGTTTTGCAGAGCTTATTCATTTTGGTCCCTGCTCTGAAAGCACTGTGAAATGGCACGATTGCAGATCATCAAGTTGCTTTTGAGGGTTTGGGGAAGTAAAATTATGATAGTGTGAAAGGGACTGTCTAGCTAGATTCAAGAACCGAACATTAACATCCCATTCAGGGGAAGGTTTGAGGAAATATATAGGTTTTATAAGACTTAAAAACTGATAGTGATGGGAGCTGACATTCTATACCTCTATAAAGTCCATTGGCAGAAAGTTTTTGTTGGCAAGAATTTCTGTTGGTTAAGTGGAAGCTTCTGGGTATCTTGGTATCAAGATTCTTCCAGCCTGGTAGAGACCACCTAATGGACTGGTGTTTAACTGCCTCAATTCTCATTGCAGGTCCAGGTGAAATAGATGGGATGCCCAAGGTAAGGGCTTCATCATGGTGCATCTTCCAGGGGGTGGGCAGGAGTTCCAGAGGCCCTGGGGATTGGAAGGGGATCAGGAGAGTATATATGGTTCTAAGGGGGAGCATATCTACTCTGTGGGATCCTCCCGAAGTAGAATCTCTCTCTGAGTCTCAGGAATGAAGAGAGTCAATTGAATTCCCCAGTATTTAGTTTCCCTGATATTGAGGGTGTGGTATTTGACTGGGAGGGAGTCAGTTTATCCTGTACAAAACCAGGGTTTTTCTAGGACTAACTCTATCTAGATTAATTAAGCAGGTTATTTGTGTGTGAGAGAAAGTTCCTACAACATTATTCCGCTATGACCTAGTTAAGCCTATTGTGCAAACAGAATCCAAGAATATTTTTATAAGGTCCAGAAACTTGCTTTTTTTAAAAAAAAGCCAACCTTTTCCGCATGCTGTCTTTTCAACAGTGCTGTATAACCCTCTCTTAGAATGTGTCCTAATCACAGTTCACGTGTGAATTGCCTGTTTTTCCCTCTTTTATTTCTGATTCTCAAGAATTCCCCGGGTAGCATGGCTGGCATAGCTAACCCACCGGGCACCCCGCGTGATGACAGCAGCGGTGAGATGGGCAGCAGCTTCTTAAACCCCTTCCAAAGCGAGAGCGTAAGGGCCTGCGTGGAGCGGCGGCCGCGGAGGGGGCGGGGATCTCGGGGGGCACGCGGGGGGCGGGGCACCCTGTGGCAGGGTCGGACTGGGCTGCCAGTGCCAACAACTAACAGCGCCATCTCATGCTGGAAGCAGCAGCTGTCAGAGGTGTGAAGAGGGGGCCGGTGCCCCCCCTCCATGATGGACCCTTCCTCTAATGCTGTGGTGTCTCCCATCTGTCTCCCCAGTATTCGCCCAGCATGACTATGAGCGTGTGACCCGGCCCGGATGCCCAGTCCCAGAGGAGCCAGACTGATGCCC